GGGGACAGCGGATGCGAAGGGCCCTGCCCGGGACAGGCCCGTCTCCTTGCGAAGTGCACAGATGGCTTTTCTTACCCTCCCCCAAAGAAAAAAGACAAAGGAAAAGACCTCGCCAAAGCAACCTAAGGAAGAGTGGATGTGAGGGACCACGGTGCTCTCATGCACGCGTCTTCTGCATAGCTCGACCCACAGAGTAAGGCACTGTTTCCTCGCCGGCCGCCCCCCGGTGGAGACGTGAGGACCGTGAGGGCCGTGGGCGCGGCCGCCGCCCCTGCGACCCCCCAGGAGCCCAGGCGTCAGTGTCAGCACTGAGTCCAGAATGGCTTTCTTTCCAGGGTCCTATGTTGTCTGCATGTGAGCTTCGATTATTCTTCGGTCTGTCTTCTCAAAGCAAATATTCAAGGTGGGGGGACAGCCGGTCAGGTCTTCAGCGCCCCGAGGCAGGGGGGCCAGTGCTCACACACAGCCGATGTGAGAGAGAGAGACAGAGAGAGAGAGATGGAGAGACAGAGAGAGAGTCAGAGACAGAGAGAGAGAGAGACAGAAAGTCAGAGAGAGACAGAAAGTCAGAGAGAGAGGGAGGAAGGGAGAGGGAGAGACTCAGAGACAGAGAGAGAGTCAGAGACAGTCAGAGAGAGAGAGACAGAAAGTCAGAGAGAGAGGGAGGAAGGGAGAGGGAGAGACTCAGAGACAGAGAGGGGGAAAGGGAGAGAGAGAGACAGAGAGAGAGTCAGAGAGAGCGACAGGGAGGGCAAGGATGCACGGGCTTTCGCAGGGGATCTGGGTCTGAGTTAATTCAGCTGGTCTTCATACTGTTTCCGGAAACAGTCCCCTGCAGGGAAGAACTCCCAGCATCTCTCCTGATACATTTTCCACACATAAGATTCCTGTCAAAGCAGAGAGAATGCATTGGTATCAGGTCTCCCCCAACAGCCGTCTGTTCCCACAAAATATAAGAAACACACATTTGTTGTTATATATCACGTAGTGCGATTCTGCATTTACACATAGACATAGATGTCGCTGGAGAAGCCAAGTTCACTCCAATCCTACCTCTACCAGACCTTACTTACTTCTAGTAATGAACAAATAATAATCTTCACCTGGACCATAACATAATAGCGAAAAAACTCATTTGTGGGATATAATTTCAAGGGATCTTTTAAAAATATTATTGTTAATTTACTCCTTCGAATTTAAACCATTAACAATTGGAAGTGAATTTTGTGGAGAGAGAATTTCAAATAGCTTAAGAACAACCCTAGACATTCAACATGCAATTATTTTAACTGACATAATGCTGTGTGGGTTGAAGTTCATGTGAAATCATCTGCTATCTAAGAAACCAAGGGCATTATAGTGATCAAAACCCAAACGCAGCATGTTCCGCTAACAAGAGTTTATTCCTATGTGGAGCCTACTTGTCTACAGAGGAGAGCTCTGCACACTCAGCCTGGACCCGGGAGTTTCATGTGAAGGTGCTGTGATGAACGAAGGGAACTCTCTTAGTGTTGAATGCACACATTTTGTTCCAAAGTGCAGCCCTTGAGGATTTGGTCACCCTTTCCTACCTGTCCTGTGTGCTCTGTTTCATCTTTATTTATGAGATACATCAGGAAAAACCTGCAAAGACAGAGAGAAATCAGCAGGGACTGTGTGGGATGTCAGCATAAACAGACACTTCTGAGCCCACTGCAGGCCAACTATTCACGCTGGTGCTGGAGCAAAATGGGTCAGAGCTGGAAAAAAATGCTCCAGCATCCAGAGCTTACCCTCCTTTTAAACTATTGTTTCAAGAAGCTGCACTGTGCACACAGATGAAGCACAGCTCAGGAGCTGCTCTGTACAGGGCAGTGGCGACCCACATGAGCTGGGCCACATCCACTCACAGGGCAGGAATCACACTCCTAAATGCAAAACTGAGGATTAAAATGTTAGCTAAGTGCCAATGTCACACAGTTGTGCATTCCAGGCCCCCCTTTTTGGGTTACTCTGCATCTCTTTTGCTTGATGTTAAAATTGGGTCAGAAACTAAGAGGGATATTTTACCAAATTCTAGTTAGAGCTAGTCCCAAGCAACAGCCCAATTCTCACGTATTTTTTGAAAGCAACGTTTAACTGTTTCTAACAGTGCCTATGAGAACTTGGGTCCTCAGGAGACAGCTGGAGGGTTCCTATGGCAATGGGGAACGGCTGGGGGAGGCCCTCCCAGAGGCCCAGCTCCCTTCCTGCTCATCCTGTCCACCCCCCATGACCCTCCCGTTCTAGAGGGAATCATTCCCCTACGTGCACCTGCTCCTGAGGGAGGGGAACCCTCACTGCAGGTCTCTCAGAGGCACATGGAGCCTGCGCTCAGTCACACAGAGGAAAGGAAGCAAGCTTTCTCCTAACTCTCAGTCTGCAAGACAGGCCCGGGGCCTGGTAGAGGCTGAGCGTCTGACGGGCACACTCACAGGTAATTGGCCAAGTTGTGCTCCTGTAAGGTGTGGGTTTCGAAGCCGTGTGGCACCGTGTCGAAGTAGTCATTGCCTATCCCGCAGATGAAGCACTTGGTCTGGAAGACAAAGGACGGATCGAGAGGTCAGAGCTCAGAGAGCAGAACAAGGGATTCCACTCACCACTAGGGGCCGCTGCTTCCTTTAAGCCAATTACGCTCACGCGCAGGCAGGCGTGCAGCGTGGCCTATGGGCAACCTGTGGCGCACTGTGTCTCACGTGGGTGTAGCCACACAGGCACATGGGAGCCAGCAGTGAGAGGCGGAAGGATGCACACAGATCCCGGTGGCAGGAAAGCAGCACATGTACCTTCCTTATTTTCTCCAGCCAAACTGAGAACACCAGGCTCAGTGGTCACACTTGCCCAGGACACTGACTCAAGTTACCTGGGCAGACTGAACGTGTGCTCCCCTGAATCTGCAAACCCACCTGGACCAAGTCAGAGGACACGGGGCAGGTACAGACAACCTCCCCCAGGGGCACCAAGCTGCGAGGCATTCAGTCTCCACCCTAAGGGCTGCCCTGGGTCAGGCACTGTGCTGGGCACACAGCTCAGCCACACACACGCAAGGGGATAACTTCCAGCTCCAGGAGCGGGCTGCCTGCTCTTTCCACTCCTCGTCCCAAACACGCCTCCCTCCTCGGGGCCTGCAGAGCAGCACCTGTGGGACCTGCCACCCGCAAGCCTTCCCCACCAGCCCGAGGACAAGCAGGGCTGCCATTTAGGGTTAGAATTTCACATGCCAACTCGAGTGCATTCAGCAACCTGTCCTCATGGGGCCCCAGACACTCATCTTCCCCGCAAACAGGAAGCTCTTTAATGCCACTGGAGGCCTATTTACTTTGCTCTAGATTCCAGGGCCTAGAATCAAGGTGGTTAGGACAATGTATGGAGTTCTCTCTGTTACTGAGCAGCTGCTGACACCCAGCTGTCAAGTCTTCCCAACACCTAGTCTCCCAACTGACTGGGTCACATGGAGCAGCTCCACCTGGCACCTGCTCTTCTCTGTGTCACCTCTCAGCTACCCTGTGTCACTGAGCTGCCATCCTCCGGTGGCTCATCTGGGCACTGGGCTCACTCTGCCTGCTCCAAACCCCTCATGCTCTGGATCCAGCCAGTGGCGAGGTCTTCCCGTGCCACGTCCAGAGTACTGCTTGAGTCTGTCTGGTCCCTTTGTCCTCAGGGGCACTTCTTAGCAAAAACCTCATACCTCCTCCCTAGAAAATGCTGATGGCCATGGCCCTGCCCCTGGCATGGCCACTTCCTAGGTCACTCCCTCTATTTTAGACCATGATTATCTTTTAAAGTGTAAGTCCAAACGCCTCACTACCCCATTTAAACGCTTTCTTATGTCCCACAGACTAAGTTACACTGCAAATTTCCCTTAAACAGCTGGCCTCATGCAGCCCTCACACTCCCCAGCCCCAGGGAGCAATGATTCTACCTGAACCACCACGCATGCTTCTAAGAAAAACTTAAATTCCCTAAAATCCAAGTCTTAGTGGATGTATCCTGGGTGGTGACACCCATGGAAGCTCACATGGGCTGTGACCCTGGAGATGTGCACAGTGGGGCCAGTGGGAGGGAGGCTGCCACACTGTCCTGCTCGCTCTCTCACAGCCAAAGGTCTGCAATCTTCACGACTCAGCTTGGGACCCCTTCTTTTAGGAACTCCCCTGAACATCGAAGGGGACAGCAGACAGCAGCTCAGACCCCAGCTCTCAGGGCTTCGTCCTGTAAGGGCCCCTGGACTGCTCTGTAACCACCTGTTTGCTTATTTCCCAGTGAACCCGTCATTCTGAATGGATAGTCTGCCATGCCTTGAGGGGTGGATGGTGTCATGTGACTGCACATACCCAGGCCCCCCAGTTCCAGCCCAGCACACTGCTCGGTCATGTGTCCTGGCAGCTGAAAGCAGGCAAAGGAAGCACACCCAATGCCCCTCCTCTCCTGCTCACACACTCAGGACTCCTTGACAGGGGAGTGAGGAACATGGGGACACTCGTCAACACGGTCGAGTCAGAAGCGGGGGGACTGACCTCCATGTCCTCTTTGACTTGCTCCTGCTGGTCTCTCAGTTCTCCAAAAGCATCAATAATTAAACCTAGTGTCAAATAAAGAACTGTTTAATATTTATCAGAGAATCATAATTAAATTCACAAACCCTGGCTAATCCTTTATTGGAAGGGAAAGTGTACAGCCATGCCGTGCAGCACTCAGAAATGAGAACCATCGTGCGCACACCTGGTGCTCCCAACAGGGCTGGGCCTTCTCTCTCTGGGGGCAGAAATGTGCACAGTTAGGGGCCAGCACTCCCTGAAAGGGGTCACAAATGAGGTGACAGGCAGGCGAAACCTTCAGACAACGTGGCGAATACAGACTGTTACAGCCAATTCCACGCTGAAAAACAGCAACTGGGGTTTACGGTCGTGATGCACAGAAAACTCCACTCATATGATTTTCAGGTAATAATTCAAAAACCCAGCAAGACCATATATCAACTGGGGGAATTTGTCTCAAGTCATTTTCCCCCAAGTTCCTTATAAATAAACTTTGCAGACCCCAACTGCTTCTCTCCTGGGATGCTGGCGGCACACTTTCTCCCAAGGGTGTCATGACTTGGCCCTCAAAAGAAACATTCTCGTCACACTCGGTAAGGACACCGAGGACGGACCTGTTCCCGTACTTCACTAAAGAACTCAGAGATAACATCACATTTACTGACGTTTAATTCAAGCCAGGATAACGGTATGAGCAGCAAAGACCTCGAGTACTCCCTGAGAGAGAAACCTGCACTCCCCGGGGCCTTGCTCCAGGGGCCGTGGTTGGTCCCGACGGCCCTGCCACCTTCACTGTGCCTGGGCCCATTACTTAGACCTGTGGGGGCTCGTTTCCTTCCAATGAGAATCCCACCCCCATCCCACAGGCTCACTGGCTGTGCCTCATTTTTTATTTATTTTTTAATCTTCACCCGAGGACCTTTATTCCCTTGCTTTTCAGACGGAGTGGGAGGGAGGGAGGGAGAGAGAAACATGGATGTGAGAGAGACATCGACTGGTTGCCTCTGACACACACCCAATCGGGGCTGGGGATGGAGCCCACGACCCAGGCACATGCCCTTGACCGGAATCAAACCCAAGGCCCTTCGGTCTGCAGGCTGATGCTCTAACCACTGATCCACACCCACGAGGGCAATTATGCCTCATTTATAAAGAAGCTTTTCAACAGCCGTAGGCTCAGAGATGATCATTTCCGTCTGACAGACCCAGAGGTTGGGTGGCGCCACCGAGCTGTAACGCTCACGGGCGGCAGGGCCGGCATTGGAGCCAGGAGAGGGCTCCTTCCATGGTGTTGCCGGGCACCTTCCCCTGCACCCGAAGGACCCGGGGCTCCGCCCCTCGCTCCGCGCAGTCAAGTGGGAGACGCTGAGCGGAAAGGTCTGCCTGGCTCTCCCGGAGGACACCTGTGGGTGGGGCCTTGCCGCTCGGACTCCGGCTCGTCCGCGCCTGTGAAGGGCTGTGACCTGTGTGGCGGCCCAGAGGCGCTGTGACCTGTGTGACGGCCGAGAGGCGCTGTGACCTCGTGTGACGGCCCAGAGGCGCTGTGACCTGTGTGGCGGCCGAGAGACGCTGTTACCTTGTATGATAGCCAAGAGGATGACAATGACAAAGAAGAAGAAGGTGATGTCGAAGATGATCCGATAGATCTCGTACTCGTCCCCCGCCGGGTCCTCGATCTCGTCACCGATGCCGCCTCCGGCTCGCACGCCCACGTACATGTGGAACATGTAGCACTGGGGAGAGAGGGTTACTCCCTCGGGTTCCGCCCCCCAGGACTCTGCCCCCCAAGGAATCCACCCCCAGGACTCTGCCCCCCAAGGAATCCACCCCCAGGACTCCGCACCCCAAGGACACTACCCCCTAAGGACTCTACTCCCCCCAAGGACACAGCCCACCCCCAAGGACTCTGTCCCC